TCGTTGGGAATGGTTCACTCAAATTGCTTTCAATCTCATTAGGTGTTGAATAGTGTACGCTAGGCATATGTGCTAACGGCTATGGAATTCATTGAGCAAATTATTAATCACTTCTCACACGAGCCAGCTTCTTATTGCACTGTCGCTGCGCGCGCGTCAAGTTTATAATAAAGCCTTGCCTTTTTTGTACTTTTATTTCAAAAAGGGAAATATTGGAAACTGCGGAATTTTAAACTCTATTTTAAAAAATAAACTTGAGTGAGCACTCAGAGTCCATGTTCCAATTTTGGCTAGAACTCTTCTTTCATTTTTCCTCTCATTTCTGTAATAAAGAAAAGCAGTTCTTGTTCTCTCTCACTGCTTCGTTTTATTACAGGTTTTTCTGAATTAAAGATCAAATGGAAGGCTTTCTTCGCATATGTGGGGAATTCTCAAAGGGCACACCTTCTACTTTTTGAGATCTCACTGCGCTTGAATTGAAGTGTTCTTTACTGGCAAAAGTCAAAAGGGTTGCGTTGGGATATGCTAAAAATGATCTTAAGTAAACAGTCAGTAAATATCTATTGCCGCATTCACAATCTAAAGATCAACATTTAGATATTTATGACGTTGGTGTTGGAAATATCTCCACTTTGACTTTAGATAAGTTTTTATTAATAACAAGTTGGACGCGGCTCAAGGCAATCTAAGTAAGACAGCTGAATAGTAAGCGAATGCTGGATACACTAGTATTGCATAGCTAGAAGTCTGTTACGTACACAAAGCAAACTGTTGACGAACTTGTTGCGATTAAATTACGAAAAGTTCCAATTACCTAGCATCATGTGTGGCGAAGCGTCATCTCCCCAACTGCTTTTGTCCTAGTTCATCTCACGCTAATTAATCTGTCGCTTTAGCTTCATGAAAGTCATAACTGCCAATATCGTCACGCCTCCCTTTTCATTTATCTGCGTCAACATTTTTTACAAAGCGTTAAATCAACATGTTAAGATTGTGTCTCAGTACATTTCAGCTATTTTTAATTATAGATTAGTGAGAAAAAAAGGCTCACCATTTAACACAGGCTTTTTGTTCGTATCGCAAAGGATACTTAGGACAAATGCCCTTATCTATTGTTATTAGGGTTAATACATTATCAGTTCGTTCAGTTGAAACTCTTTGTTTTGAAAAACATGAAGTTTTGTATAGAAATCCTCTTAATATATCCAAATCTAAGTTTTTACAAGCGAAAATTCAAGGACTTGCACTTTCTTATGCTTGCATTGCGATTTGTTTTGAACGTCTTAGTGTACACAGTCTCATGCAAACCCTTAGAAAATTAACTTCCTTATGCAGCATGTTCAATAAGTGCGTTGAGCCATTAGGGACAACACAGATTTTCTTATTTGTATAACACCTTGGCGGTAATAAAGTTGACATTTGATAACTTTCAATTTACTTGAAGAATAGCACTGCACATTACCACATTCATTGTCTGTATCTCAAATTCATGGTACTCGATCTACTATGAATCCCGGGTACTTAAACGTGCTTGGGCCACTTCCCATTTACTGCTGGTATGTACTACATTGATACATTTGATTATCAGTAGCGATTCTGTTGCACATTATCATTAAGAGAATATGCGATCGCTTACACGCCCACGCTTCTTTCATAGTGGGCAAACATCTACACAAAATCAAACTTATCTTTCCCTCTTTCACTACCATTCCTTCGTGGCTGGCTTCTATTCCTCCACTACGATGCAGATTCGATTGATTTTCCAACCTTACAGTCGTTTCTTTAGTATTTACTTATGAAAGCTTGTTATGAAGATATCATGATGTGCTTTTCCTAATTTTCCTGTTCAACATTTGACATTCGTCAATTTTCTGACTTTGATTAGTGTCAGGCACATGAAATTTTCTTTCTTACCAAACATACAAAAACCTCGTGCCGGAAGAAAAAGCAGAGCACCTAGCCATGGGCACTGGTTTCAACTTTTAAAGGCTTTTGACTTCACTCGTATGGCTAGTAAGGGAAGATGTTCTTATGCAAACCATACTTATAATAGACAATAGTTGAGGCAATTGTCAAAAATTTGGGGAGATGTGCCATTTAGTAAAGCCCTTGGTTCCGCTATCGCTACTAAGCCAAGCGATCATGTGATGGACAGGCTAAGTTTCGCTCATTATGATCAAACTCAAAATGTAAGCCATAAATTCCTCTTACAGACATCTGATGTCGAGCTAAATGAAACAGGAAGTGCTTTGGTCTGGCTACTGATTTTTGTCTGCGTAAACAAAAGTAGCGCAAAAGGTATTTGAAAAGGGTGATTAACAGGATACAGTATATTAAGGTCTAAGTGAGAGAAACCATTATATTCAACAGCGGTGCTTTCTTAAACATCTGCTACTTCCTCTTGCGTTGATACTTTCTCACGTTAAATTCGATCCAAACAGTATTTTTGCTTCAAAATTACGCATATCTCAATTAATATGCTTTTTCATTACAGGACTTCAAATGGATGCTGACAATGGCACCATTTTCAATGGAGCTTATAGTCTGATAACAAATAAGACTAAACAAGGAGAAGGTGCCGCTTTTGCGCTGGTATTCTGCATAGTATTCGCTATTATGCTACTTGTCCTACTTCTTCTCATTTGTAAGGTTGGTGACAATTATTTGAGAATGTGAGCTTTGCTTTATTTTTTCCCCATAAGGAAATTTTTGTACCAGAATCTTCATTTTACCGAAATCGAATTTTCTCATGTTTATAT